GGGGGCGCGGGCCGGTGCTACGCGCGGCCCCCCCCCCCGCCCCCCCGGCCCCCTCGCCGCGCGGGAGCCGTTAGCGGCCGCGGGGTGAGTGCGGGGCGCTGGGCTTCTGCTCTCGGCGGCAGGGAGGTGCTCCTCACGCCCGGGGTGAAGGGCCATCTGTGAGGGCACCGGTGGCCTCCCTCCTCTCGTGTGTGTGCCCGTGGCCCCGGGTGCGTAGTGCATTTCCCTGGGGTGTGGAGTGCCCCCTCTGCCTCCCCCGCTCTGAGTGGGCTCGGGGTGGTGCGGTTGTTGGATTCCGGCCTAACACCCTCGGTAATGTTTGTGGCTGTAGTCCAGGTGTGGATAGGTGTGTTTTTGTGGGTTTAATACTTCAGTTGCTTTCTGATTTGCTACTCATCTCTATTATCTTGATCATCACTAGACATGGTATGTGTGGGATTTGCTTTCTCTGAAGTGCTCTTTAGTGCTGTTGTGCAATTGCAGCAAGTGCTGTTGAAAAACTGTGGAACACTTAGAAAACACCTGGTTTATTCTGATTTGAGGTGTGTAGCATAGGAATTTTGGCAGTGGCAAGTGATAAATAAAATGAGATTCAGAAGTAAACTCATTTGTTCATTAGGGAATAATATTCTCACAGAGTGTGTTTTTATGCATTTAAATATTAAATGAATGAGCAACACTGCTGATTTGGGCTGATCTTTGTTGTCCCATCATAGTCCCTTAACAGTATTTCTGGCTTTTATCATGTTGTTTTCAGTGCCTGATCCTTGAATGTCGAATAATTATTTTACAGTACATAAATTTTTTGACCAGTAGTGTTTCATATATTATTTGTAACTAAGCACTTTTCTTTTGAGTAGATTCATCCTTTGTTTATACCAAAGTTCGTAAGCAAACATTCTTAATAATAAGTAGGTGTTACCTACCCTCTAACTTTGTTGGTAAGTTTAATTTGTTATGCTACAAAATTGTGAAAATTTGACTTACCTGTTCTTCCTTCCTCTAATGTTCCTCTCTAGCCAGCGGTTTTCCAGCAGTTAAGATACTGATGTCACCTACAGCAGATGTTCTCAGTTATCTCAAACTGAATCTTTGTTTGCTTTCCTATAGGAACTTTTGTTTTCTCTGAGCAGCAGTTAACAGTCTGTTTTCCTGAATCGACTGCTATGTGTTTTCTAACTAAACTGTGTATGTTCATTGTTCTTGTGACCTATCTGAAGCATTTACGTTACCAGGGTAAAGCTAGTTCAAGGTATATTGGCATGTCACTCCTTGGATGTGCTTTATTCTCAGATGGTAGAGTTTACAGCCAAGGAGAAGAACTGTATGTATATTTGCATAGCAGCCAGGTACATTTGGTTTTCACTAGTGTCTGGAGATACATATATATAAATAAAAATATTTTCTCCTGGATGCTGCCTAAACTGGAAGGTGTTGTGGCAGTGCATAGTAATCTTAGTATTTAGATCAGGTTTGGTTAGTGTATCCGTGGTGGCTATAGAAAAGTGTTTTGTATGCACTTTCATATACTAAAGTCTTTTTCAAAATTAGCTGGAGGTACAGTCTAGAGTGAGTGTCTGTTTCTTCCTGTATGATGTATAGCAGTATGGGTCGCTGAGTTCCAGGAACTCTTTAAGGATGTACTTCTGAGAAAGAGTGAACCTTTTGCCTAACATCTTAATAACAGATATTCTGCTAGTTCAGCAGAGACTGTTCAGGCTTTTTGTTTCCATATACGCTTCTGTTTCACAGTTCTGGGAATGTGCTTACATTTAGAGAGTTTTTGCAAAACTTGAAGAATCTTGAGAAGGTTTAGATTCAAGTAGGAAATGCTTAGATTTTATTCCCTGGCTTCTTAAGAAAGAGCTTGAAGAGCTGAAAACAAAAGAATTTCTCTCCTTTTGTTGAGGCTGCTTGTAGCATAATAGTCTATTTTAATATTTCCTTCAAAACTCTTGGTTTGTTTCTTGGGAAAATGAAAATCAAAATTATTTCAAATTTTTCAAATGCTTATTTATATTTATTTCAAGCTGGATATACTATTATTGATGGAGACTGTCTTATTACTTCTTTTGTCTGAATTTATATGTAAGAATGTGTAGGATTAATACCAAATTGGTAAAGGTAATAACAGGTGTGTTGCTGCACACAGGTGTGTGTAATAACTAACATTTTACAAAAATGTTACTGAGACTGTCTAATGGGATCTGAGAGCATCATGTCTCCCTTAAAAAGAGATGTAGAATGTGTTCTCTTCCTTTACCAATGATGCCTCATTTTCCAAGGCTTTTAAAATTATCTTGTTATCTGAACTACCTCTAGAATAGCAGTATTAGTAATTGAGCTTGTTAGGGAAAGAAAATAGTTCTCAGAAAGGAATTTCGATCCTTAAATAGCTTGTTGATCAACTTTTTAATTCCTCTGATTATGCTGAACTGAATGAAAAGAAATTTAGACCCTTAAATCCTTCCTTGTTATCAAAACAATTGTGGTTCACGTTAAAACACTTTTAAAGGCTTAAGTGTGGAAAGGGTGGTTATTCTCTCTTTGATTTCTTGCATTTCATAGGTGTAGCTTTCACCAAGTTAGCCCTTTTTTATAGCCAGCTTATTTGGCTAAAAACATTGCATGCTTTTGGTTCTGCCTGACATCTGTGCGGGTGGGAGACGTTGCTGCCCTTTGAAATTATTACCACTCACCTTTCTGTCACCGGAGTGGTTTGTCTATGCCTGTCTATGTCAGAAATATCAGCTGGGTTAGTGTAAGGAACCATATAGTTTCAGATCACCTCATGCAAATCATGTAGGCCATAAATGAAAAGTGCTTAAAGAAGCAGTTGAGTTCAGACAGTAATCTTCAGCAGGAAAGTGATGGCATTTGAGTCAGACAGTAATCTTCAGCAGGAAAGTGATGACTGGCCCACAGCCATGTTTCTGACATAGTTGAAATTGTAAGTGTAAGCTAAATTCCAGAAAATAGCTTGTCTTAGCTGGCAGTCTGAGGTACAGATTCTCTTTGTAGCATGTTGTGGTAAACTTAGTAGATTTTTTTAAAATGTTTAGCTTTTTTAGTTTGTCTTCTTGCTCTTACACCTTTGCTTTTTCTATGCTTTTCTATGCTTTTTAACTAGAGACTGACATAGTTGAAATTGTAAGTGTAAGCTAAATTCCAGAAAATAGCTTGTCTTAGCTGGCAGTCTGAGGTACAGATTCTCTTTGTAGCATGTTGTGGTAAACTTAGTAGATTTTTTTAAAATGTTTAGCTTTTTTAGTTTGTCTT